AGGACGCGGACCCGGGCGCGTGGGATGCCCACGGTGGAACTCAGTCAGGAGGGACGGATCTAGGATGTCCCTCCTAGGCACCCAGCACCGTTCCCTCCGGACCGTACCCCTCCCACTCCACGAGATACTGGAGACCACTCATCCGGCGCCTCGAGTCCAGATGGTCCGGACCCTGTACGCCGGGGCCCCCTCGATGTCCCAAAGGGGGCGGAGGGGTCTCTCCTATCTCATCTTCTTGGAGTGGGCCAGCCACCCACCGGCCTGAGAAGAGACGCATGGAACGAGGGGTTAATATTCTTGTACTCAATAGGCAGTTGTAACCTGTAACACACCTCGTTCAATCTTCTCAGGACTTTAAAGGGCCCCACAAACCGCCGACCCAGCTTCCGGCAGGGCAGGCGGAGGGGCAGGTTTCGAGTCGAGAGCCAGACTCGATCTCCCGTGCGTACACCGGTCCCTCACTGCGGGTGGCGATCGGGCGCTCGCCTTTTGTTGACGGATGGCCCGCTGCAGATGGACATGGGCAGCGTCCCACGTCTCCTCCGAGCGCCGAATCCACTCGTCTACCGCAGGGGCCTCGATCTGGCTCTCGTGCCATGGTGTCAGGACCGGCTGATACCCTAAAACACACTGGAAAGGTGTTAAATTGGTGGAGGAGTGGCGAGAGAGTTCTGGGCCATCTCTGCCCAGGGGATATACCTAGACCACTCCTTCGGCCGGTCCCGGCAATAGGACCTCAGAAACACTACCCACATCCTGGTTGACTCGTTCAACCTGCCCATTGCTCTCTGGGTGGTACCCCAAGGTAAGGCTTACCGAGACCCCCAAGCGTTCCATGAACCCCCCCAAACTCTGGAGGTGAACTGGGGACCTCGGTCAGACACAATATCCTCGGGGACCCCATAGTGCCGGAACACGTGGGTAAATAGGGCCTCAGCGGTCTGTAGGGCAGTAGGGAGACCCGGCAATTGGGAGGAGACGACAGGCCTTGGAAAACCGATCCACAACGACCAAAATGGTGGTATTCCCCTGGGCGGGGGGTAGGTCGGTCACAAAATCCACCGAGAGGTGGGACCATGGGTCGTTGTGGAACGGGCAGGGGATGTAACTTACCCCTGGGCAAATGTCTAGGCGCCTTACACTGGGCGCACACCGAGCAGGAGGAGACATAAACCCTCACATCCCTAGCTAACGTTGGCCACCAGTATTTCACGCTAAGGCAGTGCACTGTCCGGCCAATACCTGGATGTCCAGAGGAGGGTGATGTATGAGCCCAATAAATCAGACGATCACGAACCTCGAGCGGAACGTACGTCCGCCCCACAGGACACTCGGGGGGAGTAGGGTCGGTACGCAGTGCCCGCTCAATTTCCGCATCGACCTCCCACACCACCGGAGCCACCAGACAAGACTCCGGCAGTATGGAAGTAGGCTCAATGGACCTCTCCTCTGTGTCATACCGCCGGGACAGGGCGTCTGCCTTACCGTTCTGGGGACCCTGGGATGTATGTGATCTTAAAAACAAACCAGGTCAGGAACATGTTCCACCTAGCCTGACGAGGGTTCAATCTCCTAGCTGCCCGGATGTACTCCAGGTTACGGTGATCAGTCAGAATGAGGAAAGGGTGTTTGAGCCCCCTCAAGCCAATGCCTCCACACCTTTAGGGCCTGGACTACAGCTAACAGCTCCCTGTCCCCAACGTCATAATTACGCTCCGCCGAGCTGAGCTTCTTGGAGTAGAACGCACAGGGTCGGAGCTTAGGTGGCGTGCCGGACCGTTGCGACAGGACTGCCCCAATGCCGGCCTCGGACGCGTCTACCTCTACTTGGAATGGTAAGAGGGATCCGGATGCGCCAGCACCGGGGCCGAGGTGAAACAGGTTCTTCAGTTTGACAAATGCCCTGTCCGCCTCAGCTGACCACTGCAAACGACCGGACCCCCCCTTTAGCAGGGACGTAATGGGAGCTGCAACCTGTCCAAAGCCCCGGATAAACCTCCGGTAGTTAATTAGCAAAACCCAAGAACTGCTGCACCTCTTTTACAGTGGTTGGAGTTTGCCAATTACGCACGGCCGACACACGGTCTACCTCATCTCCACACCAGACGCGGACAACCGATAACCCAAAAAGGAGATGGACTCCTGGAAGAACAGGCCATTTCTCTGCCTTGACATACAAGTCAAGCTCCAACAGTCCTTCTCAACACTCGGCGCACCAGGGCTACATGCTCGGCTCGTGTAGAAGAGTACACTAGGATGTCGTCGATGTATACTACCACACCCTGCCCCATGTATGTCCCGGAAATCTCGTCAACAAAGGATTGGAAGACTGAAGGAGCATTCATTAACCCGTATGGCATGACGAGATACTCGTAATGACCCGAGGTGGTGCTAAATGCTGTCTTCCATTCATCCCCCTCCCTAATGCGCACCAGATTGTACGCGCTCCTGAGATCCAACTTTGTGAAGAACCGCGCTCCGAGTAATGATTCTGTCATAGTCGCAATCAGTGGAAGAGGGTAACTGTACTTAACCGTGATCTGATTGAGACTACGGTAGTCAATACACGGGCGCAAACCCCCGTCCTTCTTCTTCACAAAGAAGAAACTCAAGGAAAACCGGGGAAGTGGAGGGACCGTATGTATCCCTGTGCCAAGGACTCGGCTATGTAAGTCACCATAGCCGCTTGTCTCCTCTTGAGACAGGGGATACACACGGCTCCGCGGAAGTGCCGCTCCTGTTTGGAGATTTATCGCACAATCCCCCTGTCTATGAGGTGGTAGCCGTGTTTGCCCTCGTTTTGCTGAACACAAGTGCTAAATCCTCATACTCAGGGGGAATGCGCATTGCGGGCACTTGGTTCGGACTCTCTACCGAGGGTCGCCCCTAAGGAAACACCTAGACATCTCCCTACACACTGGGCAGACCACTCCATAAGAGCCCTCTGTTGCCACGCAATGGTAGTATCATGGGCGCTTAACCAGGGAAGCCCCAGCACCACGGGATACGCAGGAGAGTCAATCAGATAAAAACTGAATGATCTCCTCATGACCCCCCCTGCGTCGTCATCTTAAGTGGTGCTGTGACTTCTCTGATCAGCCCCGACCCCAACGGCCGGCTGTCTAGGGCGTGAACAGGAAAGGGGGCTTCTACCGGCCTAAAGGGAATTCCTAACCTATAACAAAATGCACAATCAACAAAATTCCCAGCTGCGCCTGAATCTACTAGCGCCTTATGCTGGGAATGAGGTGCCACCTGTGGAAATCTCACAGGTATACTCATGTGACCAACAGAGAGCTCTGGGTAAGTGGGGCGCCTACTCACCTGAAATGACTCCCCAGTGCGTGACCTGTTGTCCCCTCTCCCAGGAGACCCTCCCCAGCACCTGGCCGCGGTGTGTCCTCCACGGCCACAGTTGGTGCAGGGGATGGCCCCCCTCGGGTTCTCTCTCCTCCTCTCTCTAGCGCCAGCACCCCCGAGCTCCATGGGAATCGGCTCGGAGGTGCTGGAGGGTGGAATGGACGACCCCCACTCGGGACGTCCGCGGGTAGCCAGCAGGGTGTCGAGACGGATGGAGATGTCCACCAACTGGTCGAAGGATAGGTTGGTGTCCCTGCAGGCCAGCTCACGACGAACGTCCTCTCGTAGGCTACACCGGTAATGGTCGATGAGGGCCCTCTCATTCCAGAGTCCGGAACTCCAGGGCGAACTCCTGTGCGCTCCTCTTCCCCTGTCGGAGGTGGAACAGACGCTCCCCCGCCGCCTTCCCCTCAGGTGGGTGATCGAAGACAGCCCTGAAGCGGCGGGAGAACTCCGCGTGGGTGATGGTAGCGGCGTCTATTCCCCTCCATTCGGCGTTGGCCCACTCCAACGCCTTGCCGGATAGACAGGAGATGAGGGCGGAGACGCTCTCGTATCCCGAGGGCGCTGGGTGTATGGTAGCCAGGTAGAGTTCCACCTGCAGGAGGAACCCCTGACACCCGGCTGCAGAACCGTCATATGCCCTCGGGAGCGAGAGCCGTATGCCACTGGGTTCCGGTGCTGAGAGAGGAGGACTGGCCGTTGGTGATGGGATGGTGTGAGAAGGCGTGGGCACCTCTCCAGTAACCAACCGGCGCAGAGTGTTGGACACCTCGTTCATGGCGGCCCCAAGTTGCCGGATCATGGTGTCTTGGTCGCTGATCCGATCCTCCAGCGACTTGGGTGCCGCCACTGCTCCTGCTGACTCCATAAGGGTGTGTTGTTCTGTCAAGGCTGAGGTGTATGATGTGTGGAAGTCAGGCGCAGGACACCGAAGCTTAGTCCAACAAAGTATACTGTGAAAAACCACCAGGCAAGGATACAGTAAACGGCCTCAACAAAACAGAGGTGAGCAATACGCAAACTATGCGTATAACAAATAAACAAACAAAAACAGATACAAAAACACGCAGCACTACGGACAGGCGAAAAACAACACACAATCTAACCAATGCAAAACAGGGAACTTATAGGACACGTAATCAGACACAAACGGACACAGGTGTAAAAGACAGACCAAAGCAATCACACCAAGAAACATTCAACGGTGGCAGCTACTACTCCGGGGACGGCGAACGCCGAAGCCTGCCCGAACCAGGAGGAGGAGCAGTCTCGGCAGAATCCGTGACAAATGTAGTCAAAGATGAACATTGATTAGCTAAAGAACATGAGAGCTGGTTAGTTGATCCTTCCTCACCTGTCTGTTTGCCAGTACAGCCAGAAGAGGACTGGCCACCCCTCTGAGCCTGGTTCCTCTCTAGGTTTCTTCCTAGTTTCCTTCCTTCGAGGGAGTTTATCCTGGCCACCTGTGCTTCTGCGTTGCTTGTTTTGAGGTTTTTATGCCGGGTGTCTGTAAACGACTTTGTGACAACTGCTCATTGGGGAAAAAGGAGAGCTTTCTAAATACATTTGATTGATTGTCTCCAGGCCTGGGCTCGGAGGAGGGCCAGCCGTTGTTCAACATGAGCCTGGAGGCAGAGATGATGCTGGAGCGGCTGAAAGAGAAGCACCTCCGAGAGATGGAGGATCTACAGGCTCAGCTGGAGAGCAAGGTGGCACTTAAATATCTAGCAGTGTTTCAACTGTACTCCTGAAGCAATCCATATTTCACTGTGTCGTGTTTACTTTATCAGAGACATAGATTTGATGTAGCTAGACGGGACAGTCCCACTCCTTTATCAGAGACATAGATTTGGTGTAGCTAGATGGGGCAGTCCCACTCCTTTATCAGAGACAGATATTTGGTGTAGCTAGATGGGGCAGTCCCACTCCTTTATCAGAGACAGAGATTTGGTGTAGCTAGATGGGGCAGTCCCACTCCTTTATCAGAGACATAGATTTGGTGTAGCTAGATGGGGCAGTCCCACTCCTTTATCAGAGACATAGATTTGATGTAGCTAGATGGGGCAGTCCCACTCCTTTATCAGAGACATAGATTTGGTGTAGCTAGATGGGGCAGTCCCACTCCTTTATCAGAGACATAGATTTGATGTAGCTAGATGGGGCAGTCCCACTCCTTTATCAGAGACAGATTTGATGTAGCTAGATGGGGCAGTCCCACTCCTTTATCAGAGACAGAGATTTGGTGTAGCTAGATGGGACAGCCCCACTCCTTTATCAGAGACAGAGATTTGATGTAGCTAGATGGGGCAGTCCCACTCCTTTATCAGAGACAGAGATTTGGTGTAGCTAGACGGGACAGTCCCACTCCTTTATCAGAGACATAGATTTGGTGTAGCTAGATGGGGCAGTCCCACTCCTTTATCAGAGACAGAGATTTGGTGTAGCTAGATGGGGCAGTCCCACTCCTTTATCAGAGACAGAGATTTGGTTGTAGCTAGATGGGGGCAGTCCCCACTCCTTTATCAGAGACATAGATTTGGTGTAGCTAGATGGGGCAGTCCCACTCCTTTATCAGAGACATAGATTTGATGTAGCTAGATGGGGCAGTCCCACTCCTTTATCAGAGACAGATTTGATGTAGCTAGATGGGGCAGTCCCACTCCTTTATCAGAGACAGAGATTTGGTGTAGCTAGATGGGGCAGTCCCACTCCTTTATCAGAGACAGAGAATTGGTGTAGCTATAATATAATAATATGCCATTTAGCAGACGCTTTTATCCAAAGCGACTTACAGTCATGCGTGCATACATTTTTGTGTATGGGTGGTCCCGGGGATCGAACCCACTACCTTGGCGTTACAAGCGCCGGGCTCTACCAGTTGAGCTACAGAGGACCACATAGCTAGATGGGGCAGTCCCACTCCTTTATCAGAGACAGAGATTTGGTGTAGCTAGATGGGGCAGTCCCACTCCTTTATCAGAGACAGAGATTTGGTGTAGCTAGATGGGACAGTCCCACTCCTTTATCAGAGACAGAGATTTGGTGTAGCTAGATGGGGCAGTCCCACTCCTTTATCAGAGACAGAGATTTGATGTAGCTAGATGGGACAGTCCCACTCCTTTATCAGAGACAGATATTTGGTGTAGCTAGATGGGGCAGTCCCACTCCTTTATCAGAGACAGAGATTTGGTGTAGCTAGATGGGGCAGTCCCACTCCTTTATCAGAGACAGAGATTTGATGTAGCTAGACGGGACAGTCCCACTCCTTTATCAGAGACAGAGATTTGGTGTAGCTAGATGGGGCATTCCCACTCCTTTATCAGAGACAGAGATTTGGTGTAGCTAGATGGGACAGTCCCACTCCTTTATCAGAGACAGATATTTGGTGTAGCTAGATGGGGCAGTCCCACTCCTTTATCAGAGACATAGATTTGGTGTAGCTAGATGGGGCAGTCTCACTCCTTTATCAGAGACAGAGATTTGATGTAGCTAGATGGGGCAGTCCCACTCCTTTATCAGAGACAGAGATTTGGTGTAGCTAGATGGGGCAGTCCCACTCCTTTCGTATTGTTTGTGCTTTTATTGAACAGATAGGACATTGGCAGTATGGGAAGACAGGAAAGGTAGGAGGTAGAGTCAAAGGCCAGTGGATTGGATTGGAACCCATGCTGACTCGGCCATATATATGTGTGCCAGGCTCAGCAGCTCTACTCACAGACCTGGGCCACACAGACCACACTGGGCAGTGTTTTTGTTCTGATATAGTTGGATATGATTTTCCCCCATGTCATTGCAGGTGAGTGAATTTGACCAGAAGGTGGAGGCCCAGAAGGCAGCCTTGTCTCTGCAGTACATGGAGGAGATCCAGGCTCTACGGGGGGAGATGTCCAGCAGCCAGAACCGAGCCCTGGAGCTTCAGGCCCAGCTAGAGCAGGCGGTGGAGGAAAGGGCTGGCCTGGAGCAGAGGCAGGCGATGGAGGAAAGGGCTGGCCTGGAGCAGAGGCAGGCGATGGAGAGGGAAGAGCTGGAGCACCAACAAGAGGAGGAAGTGAGTAGAGGACTGTGTGGCTCAGTTGGTAAAAGCATGGCACTTGCAGGGAATCGTGGGTTCGATTCTATGCTGGGGCCACCCACATACAAAAATGTATGCACTCCGTGATGTAAGTTGCTTTGGCATATATTATAATACATTACATTTTGATTTCTATTAGGTGAGCTGCCTGAAGCAGGAGCTCCTAGAGGCCCCCACCCAGGCTGCCGACATGGAGGGCCTGGAGGGCCTACAGGCGAAGGCTGAGCCGGGCCTGGACAAAGAGATGCAGGAGTTAAGGAAACAACATGCTGTGGAACTCTACAAGCTGGGCGAGGAGCACAAAGAGGAGATCCTTTTGACCAGGACGGAAGAAGAAGAGAGGGGGAAGCTACAGGAGGAGAGAGCTGAGGTGGAGAGGAGGCTGTCAGAGGAGTGGGAGAGGGAGAAGGTGGAGTTACAGCAGAGACACGAGGAGGCAGTGAAGGCTAGGATAGAGGAGGTGAGTGTCAGGTTCCAGGTGGAGCGAGAGGAGCTGGAGATGCGACTCGCGGAGGAGTGGGAGAGGGAGAAGGTGGAGTTACAGCAGAGACACGAGGAGGCAGTGAAGGCTAGGATAGAGGAGGTGGAGATGCGACTCACGGAGGAGTGGCAGAGGGAGAAGGTGGAGTTACAGCAGAGACACGAGGAGGCAGTGAAGGCTAGGATAGAGGAGGTGGAGATGCGACTCACGGAGGAGTGGCAGAGGGAGAAGGTGGAGTTACAGCAGAGACACGAGGAGGCAGTGAAGGCTAGGATAGAGGAGGTGAGTAGCAGGTTCCAGGTGGAGCGAGAGGAGCTGGAGATGAGACTCGCGGAGGAGTGGGAGAGGGAGAAGGTTCTGTTGGACGAGCAGACTAAAGCGTCGCTGCAGACTGTGTTAGAGGAGCAGGAGAACAGGGAGGCCAGGCTCACTGAGCAGTGGGAGCTGGAACGAGCTCGGCTCCAGCAGTGTCGTGAGGTGGCTCTCCTCACCGGGTTAGCCGAGGAGCGCCGGAAGCAGCAGGAGGAGACGGAGAGGAGGCTGAGGGAGGACTGGCACAGGGAGAGACTCCAGCTAGAGGAGGACTATGAGGGGATGCTTCAGGAGCGGCTGCAGGAGGAGAGGGAGGAGGTGGAGAAGAGGTTGGGGAAGATGATGGAGGAGGAGAAGGAGAGGCTAAAGGAGGTCCACAGACATGCTGTGCAGGACCTGAGTGCCAAACACAGTGAGGAGAGGGAACAGCTCAGCTGTCTACTGGATAAACTGCGGGAGGACATCGCTGAGAAAAGGTAAGACTGTCTAACTGTAATGAAATCAGCTTATAAACTATTTCCTTTTATTAAATTGTTTAGGGTTTTTAGTCCCAGCATTGACAATTTGTCCATTAAAACCTGCATTCTTGATAAAAACCATAATCATGTTTACTTTATGTCAGTGTTGTAGTACTCAAGACCACATATTGAGTGTCTCGGTCTTGTCTCTGTGCCGGATACATTTGTACTCGGCTTGACTTGGTCTCGGACAGTGAGGACTCGTAATTTCTTCCCGAGACCAGCGCAGTAAAAAAGTCATTATCAGCTTCCATTCAGTCAGCTCATAAAACCGCTTCTCCAGGCCAAATAAAGACTCTCCTTTATTGAACCATTAATATCTTAACAGCCTTTATATCTATTATAGACATGTTTGATCAGTGGTGAACCTATAGGCCTTCAGTGGTGAACCTATAGGCCTTCAGTGGTGAACCAATAGGCCTTCAGTGGTGAACCTATAGGCCTTCAGTGTGTGAACCTATAGGCCTTCAGTGGTGAACCTATAGGCCTTCAGTGGTGAACCTATAGGCCTTCAGTGGTGAACCTATAGGCCTTCAGTGGTGAACCTATAGGCCTTCAGTGTGTGAACCTATAGGCCTTCAGTGGTGAACCTATAGGCCTTCAGTGTGTGACAGTGGTGAACCTATAGGCCTTCAGTGTGTGACAGTGGTGAACCTATAGGCCTTCAGTGTGTGACAGTGGTGAACCTATAGGCCTTCAGTGTGTGACAGGTTCGTGATTCTGAAAGGACAGCAACCTTTTAATAACAGCGCACTCATGTAGGAGAGTGCACTTTTTTTGCAAAACACCAAAGGACCAGTGGTGGTGTGGAGGGTATACTTAGGTATTTTTCAGTGGGCGTTGCCGTATACTCACGTCTTAATCCCTACTGATGCGTATCAAAGTAGTGTAGTGGAGGGTATACGATTGATCAATGATGTAGTACAATAGAGAAATCATGCGCAAAGTAGCCTACACAATCGCAAAGCACGTGAAATATATTCACATGGGCGCTGCACACATAGCCTAGTTTCAGCGGAATACCATCTGCAGGCAGCAAGAGTGTGCAGCTCTCAACTGGTTTTGGCATGAAGCAGCTCACAGAAGAATGACATCGGTAGCCGGTAGGGCAGGAAAACACATTTCACCTTATGATATCTACCGGTAAATGCTAACTAAGGCAACAATGGGTATGCAAACCAGGTATTGGAAAACGTTTAGTCCAAAGTTATTGGTTAGTAGGCTATTTGTGATGTGCAATTATCATCATGTGCTCTTTGCATCAGGGGCGTAGACATGGATGGGCCTGGGTGGACAGAGACCCACCCACTGGGGAGCCGGGCCCTGACAGGCCCACCCACTGGGGAGCCAGGCCCTGACAGGCCCAACCAATGGGGAGCCAGGCCCTGACAGGCCCACCCACTGGGGAGCCAGGCCCTGACAGGCCCACCCACTGGGGAGCCAGGCCCTGACACGCCCACCCACTGGGGAGCCAGGCCCTGACAGGCCCACCCAATCAGATTGTTTTGGTCTTAGATCATAACATTTTTGTATTTTTTCTATGTAAAAACAAAAAGGGTGCCTTTCGTTCGCTGGGCCGTTTGGGAAATTTTAGGCAAAATTAGAGTATACCCACTTCTCCAGGCACCGCTACACCCCTGGATAGGGCCGAAGGAAAGACAGCAGTCACACAGCATGATGTTAAAGGATAAGCAGTCACACAGCATGATGTTAAAGGATAAGCAGTCACACACAGCATGATGTTAAAGGATAAGCAGTCACACAGCATGATGTTAAAGGATAAGCAGTCACACAGCATGATGTTAAAGGATAAGCAGTCACACACAGCATTATGTTAAAGGATAAGCAGTCACACACAGCATTATGTTAAAGGATAAGCAGTCACACAGTATGATGTTAAAGGATAAGCAGTCACACAGCATGATGTTAAAGGATAAGCAGTCACACAGCATTATGTTAAAGGAAAGCAGTCACACAGCATGATGTTAAAGGATAAGCAGTCACACAGCATGATGTTAAAGGATAAGCAGTCACACAGCATGATGTTAAAGGATAAGCAGTCACACAGCATGATGTTAAAGGATAAGCAGTCACACAGCATGATGTTAAAGGATAAGCAGTCACACAGCATGATGTTAAAGGATAAGCAGTCACACAGCATGATGTTAAAGGATAAGCAGTCACACACAGCATGATGTTAAAGGATAAGCAGTCACACAGCATGATGTTAAAGGATAAGCAGTCACACACAGCATGATGTTAAAGGATAAGCAGTCACACAGCATGATGTTAAAGGATAAGCAGTCACACAGCATGATGTTAAAGGATAAGCAGTCACACAGCATGATGTTAAAGGATAAGCAGTCACACAGCATGATGTTAAAGGATAAGCAGTCACACAGCATGATGTTAAAGGATAAGCAGTCACCAGCATAAGGAAAGCAGTCACACAGCATGATGTTAAAGGATAAGCAGCCACACAGCATGATGTTAAAGGATAAGCAGCCACACAGCATGATGTTAAAGGATAAGCAGTCACACAGCATGATGTTAAAGGATAAGCAGTCACACAGCATGATGTTAAAGGATAAGCAGTCACACAGCATGATGTTAAAGGATAAGCAGTCACACAGCATGATGTTAAAGGATAAGCAGTCACACAGCATGATGTTAAAGGATAAGCAGTCACACAGCATGATGTTAAAGGATAAGCAGTCCACACAGCATGATGTTAAAGGATAAGCAGTCACACAGCATGATGTTAAAGGATAAGCAGTCACACAGCATGATGTTAAAGGATAAGCAGTCACACAGCATGATGTTAAAGGATAAGCAGTCTATAAACTCAGACATAATAAGTCAGTAGGTTCCAATCATAAGAATACAAAAACACAACCATTAAGCATTTCCCAATCGAAATGTATAACTATTACTTCCCATTGCAAAAAACATTTCAAGGTTAGCGCACAAAGTGACCTTTGACCTAGTTTAAAGTGGACCTGACAGTGTTTTAACTACTTTGCAGAGATTAAACAATCATATCAGTCAAAAATATCAAATTCCCAGATTATGCTACAAAATCAACTTTTATAATAGGTTTTATTTTTGACTCAACGTTCCACGACGTACACTAAGGCATTATTGGCAGAATAGATGGATGCAGTTTAATGCATGATTAATATAATTCACCAGTACATTTCTTGGTAGCACAACAAATATTGCTATCAGGTTGTAAATCACAGCTGACATTATTTGCTGCCTCCATTCGGGATGCACTGTTTCAGTTTCAATGACTCAATATTCTGGACAAAAACGGACGATAACTAAGGCTGGGAATGTCAATACAATCAAACTAGCAAGGGCAACGATCACAAGTCAGTCATAACGTGGCTAATAGGCTAGCGTGTCTATTTATGTAGCAAGCTAAAAACACGGAGCCTAACGTTAGCTAGCTGCTAGGAGGATGTCATGTCATGCCATTTTTTCCCCCTCATATCGATTTTCGGTGGCTATACACAGCTAGAGATGCAGGTGTCATTTGGTTAGCTAGCAGGAACTTGAACGACTTATCAAGCTAGCATATCGATTGCGTTCGCAAATTCGCAAATTCACTCTGGCTATAGATTTCAGAGCACTCTCGTATGAGTGTGCCAGAGTGCAGAACAACTGATCTTCTGTTGCTGACGTTGTTTTCCTCTGTTGGTTGTAGGCGTGATGCGGGTCATCTAGCAGAGGAGAACCTTCTACTCAGACAGAAGATATCCACGCTGAAGGAAGAGGACCCGAGAGACACCCAAGAGGAGATGCTGTAAGAAACCTCATGGTCCTGGGAACCATTTTTTGTGTTTTCCCCTACACTTCCCTGGTGTAGTGGAGATTAAACGCAAGTAAATGCAGTTAACCCACATTTTTATTTTATTTTATTTTTGCACAACAGTTTACCCACCTTTTGCCAAAAAAATGCATTGAAAGTATAGGGAGCGTTATTTCTTTCAACGCAACTGCCGATCAGAGTTTATCCACCTGATTTTTTTTTTTTTACCACTACATCACTGCTAGCACTTACACACCTGATTTTAAACTAATCAACTCTCATCAAGCCTTTGATTAGTGGAATCAGGTGTGGTAGTGCTGGGGCAAAAACAGCAACAATGATGATCCTTTGGATTAAGAAACACTGAGCCCCCGTGTAGCTCAGTTGGTAGAGCGTGGCGCTTGCAACGACAGGGTTGTGGGTTCGATTCCCACGGGGGGGCCAGTATGAAAAATATGTATGCACTCACTAACTGTAAGTCTGCTAAATGACAAAAAATAAAATAAAATATACAAATGTATGCTACAGCTATTTTTTTCATTTCATTGGGTCATTGAACTCACACTTTCTCCTCCCCTATCTTAGCTTGAAACTGGAGCATTTCAGGAAGGAGAAGATTTCTGCGCAAAGGAAGGCAGAGAGTTTCAAGAGACAGGTAGGACGAGAGTAAAACGACTAACTTTATTAGCTATGTTAACTTTAACGTGGTTCTAGGGGGCTGACTTGCATTGCACTTAAGAACGTTGTTCCTTTGTGCCAACACAGGTAATAAATGGCAACTCTAATAAATATATATCTGTGTCAAAAAAGGTGCCTTTTTCTCTACATAGTGCACTACTTTTGACCAGGGAATAGGGTGCAGGCCCTGATTTTAAAAAGTAAGGCATTGTATAGGGAGTAGGTAAAAAGTAGTGCACTATATAGGGAATGGGGTTGCAGGTCCTGGTCAAAAGTCGTGCACTATATAGGGTGCCATTTTTGGACGACCCCTAAATCTGCATTCCCCCCCCCCCCCCCCCCCCCCCCCCCCCGTAGATCTCGGCGCTTCGTCTCCGCAGGCAGCAGCTGGAGGATGAGAACGGGCTGCTGTCGGAGAAGAACGCCCAGAATGCAGCAGGAGTGGAGGGGTTGAGCCAGCAGCCGGGGGAACTACTCAGACAGAGTGAGAGACAGGAGGCTGTCCGAGACCAGCAACGCACTGTACCGGAGGATGACAGGACCAAGGTAAATGATGACATTAGTTGTTTTTAAAGGGATGGTTCAGGATTTTGGCAGTGACGCCCTTTTTATCTACTTCCCTAGAGTCAGATGAACACTCGTGGCAAACCCAGTGCCAGGATAAAGTGACTAAGGGGGGCAGTTGAAAACAGTGAGGGGGGCACAATTTTGGTGGGATCCTTGCATTGGAGTTATATAGAATTCTGCTTATATCACGCTGTACCACAATAAACAATAAAGTTCAAATGCCGAGACTCCGAAACCATTGATTGAGTGCTTTTGAAGTGACGGGTAGGTGTGAAATCTGTATCCTATCTCTGCTGCGCTGTATCCACACAAAACAAGGCCGTTATGGTAATGAATATAGGCTGCAAGATAGGGTGTTTCACCCCATTACAAACATCCTTGTGTGAATGCGGCCGTACAGCATAATGCTTGTTCGAGCTAAATAGGCTATGGCTAATAACACTAATGCTTTTTACAGCAAGCTGAGAAGCTAACTAAACTCTGTAGTGGTGGGGTGTGAAGCATCTTCAACGGTAAATCAAATATTACAGGCGGAGGCGGTCCCGTTATTCACAGCCTACCACAGATGACAATCGTTTTTTTTCCAGATTTTTATGGAAACCCGAAGGAGTTGTACTGAACCGCCCCATTGGCTTTCCACGGTCCCCCTACATGTCCATGGTGATGACACGGCGCAGCAGAGATACAGATTGTGCACCAACCTGTCACTCAATCGTTTTTTTTTTCTTTCAATTTTTCTATTGGGACATAAAATTAAAACTAAGGTGGTGCAAGTTTCAACTGAGGGGGGCTAACATCGTGGAGCCGGTCCTGTTATGTCTCTGAGTCCAGTATGAAGGAAGTTAGAAATAGTTTAACAAGCCAAACGCTAATCTAGCGTAAAACATTGTATCCACGAGTCCATCTCACTCTGGGTTTAAGTAGATAAAAGGGCTTCATTGCCAAAATCCCGAACTGTCCCTTTAAGGATTTTGATTGTAGTCATGACCTGTTTTTTCCTCCTCGTTGGGGTCCTAATGACTTGTTCTCCTGTGTGTCAGATGGCCGTGTGTGTCTCTGCCCTGGAGGCGGAGCTGACCAACGCTGTGGAGGGGACTGTACTGCTAGAGGAGGGCAAGGCCCAGCTGGTGCTGCAACTCAACGCCCTCAGAGACAAGGTGAGACACGAGTAGATAAACATTTATATGTAGTACAGGCAAATATATATATATAACTCGTATTTATCCAGGTTAGTGTTTAGTATTTTGCACGAGAGACCTGCAGAGACCCCTCCTAGCAGTGTCTAATGTATTATATGCTCCCGAGTGGCGCAGTGGTCTAAGGCACTGCATCACAGTGCTAGCTGTGCCACTAGAGATCCTGGTTCGTATCCAGGCTCTGTCGTAGCCGGCCGCGACCGGGAGACCCTTGGGGGCGGCGCACAATTGGCCCAGCGTCGTCCAGGATAGGGGAGGGAATGGCCGGCAGGGATGTAGCTCAGTTGGTAGAGCATGGCGTTTGCAACGCCAGGGTTGTGGGTTCGATTCCCACGGGGGGCCAGTATGAAAAAAAATATATAATGTATGCACTGGATAAGAGCGTCTGCTAAATTACTAAAATGTAAATGTAATATATGCAGTATGTTACACGTGGATGTGTACGGTGTAGGGGTTTTAGGTACATTATGGTCAAATAGTTTATACGGTACGTCCAACCACACTCCTCTTCGCTGTGTCCATCTGTAGATGGATAAGGTGGGGGCTGTAGAGTGCCAGCTCTCCGTCCTCCTGCAGGAGCACAAGGCTTTGGACAAACAAACCCAGGGATTACGCAACCAGCTAGCCACGTCTCAGGAGAGGGTAAGGATGCTCTGTTCAGTCTGTCTGGTCAATAGTAGTGCACAATTATAGGGAATAGGGTGCCATTTGGGATTCACTCTTACGCTACCTTACAGTCAACCACTTTATGACACGGTTATTGATCTACAATTCAAATTGTTACCGCTTTCATTCAATATCATCATCAATTATAATGTACAGTATGTTCTATGTGTGTCAAGCCAAAGACACATTTCGACATTGCAGGGACAATAAGTATTTCTAATTAATTAGGCAAAATTCACTGTCATTCTATGATTCCTATTGATGGTGTGTTTAGTCAAGATGCTGTCAGTCAGTATGTAAAAGTATTGTGTAAAATTCCGGTAAATTTCCCAAGTTTCCAAGAAATCCTGGTTGGAGGATTCCTGAATCACGAGGGAATAATCAGGAAAACCGGACTCCTCCAACTAGGGTTTCTGGAAAACTGGGGAATGGTTGGAGGATTCCTGAATCACGAGGGAATAATCAGGAAAACCGGACTCCTCCAACTAGGGTTTCTGGAAAACTGGGGAATTTAAGAGAAGTTAGCGGTATTTTGCAAACCTATTCATGACCAAGGTGGTCTCCCTTTCAGACCCATGTGTTGGAGGAAAGCCTCCAGTCTGTTAACCTCCAGCGCGCCCGTCTCAAGGCAGACCTCCGCGTGTCACAGCAGGAGAAGGACGCCCTCAAACAGGAAGTGATGTCACTGCACAAACAGCTGCAGAACGGCAACGATAAGGTGAGGCCTTCTATGATGACACGCTGATTGGTTGGTTGGTAAGTTGATTGGCTGGCTTCATGTTGGTTAGTTGATTGGCTTGCTCCAGGTTGGTCCGTTCTAGTCATTCTATTTCTATAATTACTATAACTAACGGTCGGTTGGTATAGAAATACTAAAACGGACATCCAGTCAAATTGCTGTGGTTTGAGCAGCTTTGTCCCTTCTAGTATATTTCTATGGGTCAGGGAATGCTCAGTCTCTCAGCTTTGTTTGTTATTGTGACCTCTGACATCTGCGTTTTCCTGAATCAGAACCGGGTTCTGGAGATGGCCCTGCACTCCAGCGGGTACCAGAGCCAGCACAAGAAGCTGTACCGGGACGAGCTGGCCAGGCTGGTGGAGCAGGAGCTGAGGCAGGAGAACGAGAGGCTGACCATGGAGCTCCACAACACCAAGGGTGACCTCCACCACACCAGGGACAAGGTGAGATTACAGAGGGAATGGATGGATGTGACAGACTCGTTCATCCATTCAACAAAATATAGACACAATCAAATCTGACTTGATGTGCTCTAGGTCTTTTTAAGTTTTGGAGGTTCAGAGGACAGCATTACAGCCTGTATCATCTCCTCAGACGCGGCAGCTGGAGGCAGCCATCTTAACCCTGACGCAGCGGAAACAGCAGGGCCAGTCCAGCGTGGTGAAGACAGTAGAGCAGGAGAAGACTGCTCTGAAGAGAGAGCTGGACGTGACGCACCAGGAGCTACTCTCTGCTCACAACAAGGTCATCTAAGGAGGGTCAACTCTTATACCTGCTCTGATTGGTTGGCTAGCTGATTGATTTGTTGCTTTACACTTTCCCTCTATATCAATAATATATACCTATGTAGAAAAGGAAAGCATCCCAACATCAATACTTACCTCCACATATAATTCACAAGCAACTTGTATTTCTGAAGCAGTCAGCTTTTGACACTGCACGTTGTACAGTATCCGTCTTTCCTTGTTATCTTATGGTCTTGGTGTGTTGGGGCTGATGGTGTGGTGTGTTGGGGCTGATGGTCTTGGTGTGTTGGGGCTGATGGTCTTGGTGTGTTGGGGCTGATGGTCTTGGTGTGTTGGGGCTGATGGTGTGGTGTGTTGGGGCTGATGGTCTTGGTGTGTTGGGGCTGATGGTCTTGGTGTGTTGGGGCTGATGGTCTTGGTGTGTTGGGGCTGATGGTGTGGTGTGCAGGTGTGTGAGGTTCAGAGAGAGCTGGAGAGTCTACGTCGGGAGAATGAGGGTCTGAAGCCCCGACCGGTCCCGGTACAGGCCCGGCTGCTGGAGGTCAGTTCTCTACCAACCTTCTCTAACTTCCTCCTCACTTTTACTCCTCCAATCTCATTGCATCTGGACTTTAATCTACCAATCAAACACCTCCTCTTTTTAATGTCACTTTTCTCCCTCTTCCTTACGCTTCTGTCATTTTCTATAGAAATAGTTTGTTCTTTGTTTTTTTTCATGTAACACCAACAATTTTCCAGAAACACTATAACGGTTGCCTAGCGCTGGCTCCTCCTGTCCCCTCTTTAACACAGCCTCTATCCATCTGTCTGTCTATCCCTCCCATCCTACATTATGTCCCCTGTCACTCCTCTCCCCCCTCTCTCTTTTTCTCTCCCCCCTCTCTCTTTTTCTCTCCTCCCTCTCCTGACCGTCTCCCTCTCCTCCCTCTCCTCACGTCTCTCTCTCCTCCCAGTCTCTCTGTCCTCCATATCTCTCTCCTGACTGTCTCTCTCCATATCTCTCTCCTTCTCTCTCTCTCTCTCTCTCCATATCTCTCTCCTTCTCTCTCTCTCTCTCTCTCCATATCTCTCTCCTGACTCTCTCTCTCCTTCCTTCTCTTTCTCCTGACTCTCTCTCTCCTGACAGTCTTTCTATCCTCCCGGTCTCTATGTCCTCCCGGTCTCTCTCTCCTGACTCTCTCCCTCTTCCATATCTCTCTCTCTCCTGACTCTCTCTCCTTCTCTCTCTCCTGACTCTCTCTCTCCTTCTCTTTCTCCTGACTCTCTCTCTCCTGACAGTCTCTCTCGCCTCCCGGTCTCTCTCTCCTGACAGTCTCTCTCGCCTCCCGTTCTCTCTGTCCTCCCGGTCTCTCTCTCCTGACCGTCTCTCTCTCGCCTCCCGGTCTCTCTCCTGACTGTCTCTCTCTCTCCTGACTCTCTCTCCTGACTCTCTCCTCTCTCCTCCTCTCTCTCCTGACTCTCTCCTCTCTCCTGACTGTCTCTCTCTCTCTCCTGACTCTCTCTCTCTCTCTCCTGACTCTCTCTCCTGACTCTCTCTCTCTCCTCCTCTCTCTCCTCTCTCCTGACCGTCTCTCTCTCGCCACCCGGTCTCTCTCCTGACTGTCTCTCTCTCTCTTTCTCTTCTGACTGTCTCTCTCTCTCTTCTGACTGTCTCTCTCTTTCTTCTGACTGTCTCGCTCTCTCTTCTGACTGTCTCGCTCTCTCTCAAACATTGTGTTGGAAATTCCAAATTGTTTGCATAAGCAACTTACACACAGCACTGACACGCACACCCTTACCCCACCATACATGCATGCCACCAGGGGTCTTTTCACAGTGCCAAGGTCCAGAACAAATTCAAGGAAACGTACAGTATTATACAGAGCCATGAGTGCATGGAACTCCCTTCCATCTTATATAGCGCAAGTGAACAGCAAACCTGGATTAAAAAAACAAATAAAGCAACACCTCCCGACACAACGGCTCCTCCCCCATGTGACCTAATTGTTGTGTATGTACTGACATGTATGTGTCAACCACACGCTACATGTTAATGTTTTGAAATGTATGTAAATTGTTAAGTATTTTGTCTGTAATGTTGGACCCAAGTAAGACTAGCAGTCGCTAATGGGGATCCTAATAAATAAAATAAAATCCTCAGTCTCTCTCTCTCTCTCTCCTGACTGTCTCTCCTGACTGTCTGTCTCTCCTCCCTCTCTCCTGACTGTCTCTCCTGACTGTCTGTCTCTCCTGACTGTCTCTCTCTCTCTCCTGACTGTCTCTCCTGACTGTCTGTCTACCCTCCCTCTCTCCTGACTGTCTGTCTCTCCTGACTGTCTCTCCTGACTGTCTGTCTACCCTCCCTCTCTCCTGACTGTCTGTCTCTCCTGACTGTCTCTCTCTCTCTCCTGACTGTCTCTCCTGACTGTCTGTCTCTCCTCCCTCTCTCTTGACTGTATGTCTCCTGACTGTCTCTCTCTCTCTCCTGACTGTCTCTCCTGACTGTCTGTCTCTCCTCCCTCTCTCCTGACTGTCTCTCCTGACTGTCTGTCTCTCCTGACTGTCTCTCTCTCTCTCCTGACTGTCTCTCCTGACTGTCTGTCTCTCCTCCCTCTCTCCTGACGGTCTCTCTCCTGTTGTTTGCTCTCTCCTGACTGTCTGTCTCTCCTGACTGTCTGTCTCTCCTGACTGTCTGTCTCTCCTGACTGTCTGTCTCTCCTGACGGTCTCTCTCCTGTTGTTTGCTCTCTCTCCTGTCTGTCTCTCCTCCCTGTGTCTCTCCTAACAATCAGCCTTGTCTCTCTAGGCCCAGCTAGGTGGTCTGCTGCCCTCCTCCCCTCGCAGGATGCCTGGTGAGTGGAGAGGACAACACTGCGAGGACGACCACAACCCAGAGAACATACAGGTAGGAGAGATCAGTGTTCCCCATCACATACTGTAGCAGGCTAATCACACCTCTAACTATAACTGAATCCTCAGATCTCCTTCTTGCTATTTGAATCAATATGCAGCTGGCATATCTGGCGATCTACAATCTAGCACTTAGTGAGTGAAGATACTATGTTCAACAGTTGTGTACAGTATCTTCACTCTCACTGTGCTCAACAGTAGAATACAGCATCGTTACTCTCACTGTGCTCAACCGTAGTATACAGCATCGTTACTCTCACCGTGTTCAACAGTTCATTACTGCCACATTCACACTTTAAACAGTCCATTCTGCAGCTCTTCATCTGATCCTGTTGATTATGGGACTTACCTGACTTCTGATCTACCTTGATTACAGTCCGATGGGAGCTAAACCACAAACACCTTACCAAAATGTCTCTCCATTTTCACTTTGAGGAATATAAATATTTGAAAATAGAAATGCCTCTTGTTTGGTTTGGGTTCTGACATTTTGTCCTGGTTTCATCACCACACCCACCGCCTTGCCATCTTCATGTTCTCTCACGTGTTTGTAGAGTGTGTAGTGTGTAGTGTGTGTGTGTAGAGAGCGCGTGTGTGTGTGTGGTAGGGCTGACCCCATTTAGTCGACTGGTCGATTGTTTAGTCGATAGGCTTTTGGTCAACCAAGATGTATTTATTTGTTATGGTGCACAAGCCACCTGTCTGATTGGTGCCTGTCTCAGTGGACTAAACCATTGTGGAGGCCACAGGGATGGCTCAGTCCATCACTCTAAGACATGTGATACTGAAACAGTAGATGGTTATATTATGTAAAAATAATGGCGCAACACTAATCAATATTTTTTTTATATAATATTTTTTATTCACAATGAATGAAAGATAACATTTAAAGACGTTGTACATTCAAACCCTTTTTGTCCCCCCCCACCACCACCCCCAGAATGCCTCCAAACACATTTAAAAAGAAAGGCAAAGTGATTGAGTTACATGTCAGAAAACAAAACAAAAGTATACAACATTGTTACTTCAATACAAGCAAAAATGTAATAGCCCAACAATTTCTGGTGATTTAGGTGATCTTATAGGCCTATAGTAGTAATCTCAAGGGGTGGGGGTGGAGCCAAGAGTACTAATCTGGAGGAAGTGTTTGGAGCTGTTCAAAATAGGATATCATCGGGTCCCAGGTGGAATAGAAGGAGTTGGTTGACCCTCGAATGGTATACTTCATTTTGTATAATTTTAAGAACAGCATCAGATCTTTGAGCCAAAGAGAGGCTAAGGGAGGATTGATAGATTTCCAATCCAATAATATCCTTCTGCGGTCTGTCGTATCTGATGAGTGGTGGCAAATATTGTTGTCAACACAGAGTCCGTTATGCTGCATCGTGTGAGAGGCTTTTATTAAAATCACGAGTTTACAGCATAGGTACAGACCCGCGATGTCCGGAGAACGGCTCCCCAGATTGCTATGGCCGTTCTGACGTTCCTCGCCTAACCCCCTTATTTATAAACAATGAAACTCCCTCAATCACCAGTCTCCCCTTTATATAGCCTTCCAAGAGTTGAATAGCTCCCTCTACTGTCCAATCCCCGTATCTTACAACCCACTTCCTGTCTGTCATATGTCATTATACTAAACATTGCCTTTTGATACTAACATAACCAACATTCCATTTCTTCATGAAAAACATTTAACAAAGGCATAATCTTCAGATACTATATTCCCCCCTTTCGAGACGAAATAAACGTCTCGAAAACAAACAGAATAGGATTATGACTATTAACCATTTATCTTATTGAGTATCTTTAACATTAAACCAAAACCATTCTCCTCTAGAGCGTAAATACCTTTCTATGAAATACCTGTTTATGAAGTGTGAATACATTACTATGACATATGAAGTGTGAATACATTACTATCTTTATGAAGTGTGAATACATTACTATGACATATGAAGTGTGAATACATTACTATCTTTATGAAGTGTGAATACATTACTATGAAATATGAAGAAATCTCTATGGAGTGTAAGAGCGAAAAACTGTCTGGCAGCCATCCATCCATATCAATCAAGACAGTAAAATTCTCTCACGGTCCCTCTGCCCCAGGCAACCACCGTCGGTACTCCAGATAACCTCATAACTCATGTAAATGCATTTGAAACTATGATGCAATTAAATACACATGTAAGCCCCTGCAAACAAAATCCTATCCATAAACATCCATTGTACGGCTGGTCAACCCATAGGACCGTACAATGAAACTCTCCCTTCCTAGCCTCTCTGTCCCTAAACATTCACGAAATAAACAAAAACATCTAAGATCCTCCCATGTATCCAATTACATCAAACATCATTCTACAAAAATTAATCCCTGAGGCTATTACACAATTATGTATTACACATGTCTATATTTCATTGCCGACACTGGAATGTAGTCCCCTCTTCCAATGGACTTGTTGATGATGGAATCAGCCACACCCTCCTTGTTTCATCTCCTCCAGTCATATTGTCCCTTCATATTGTCTTTGTCTGAATATTCCAATCTCCACATGTTCTCCCAAATGCCTCTGGAATGAAAAGAAACGAAACGACCAAACAGTATCTTTTGCAAAACAAACACTTTCAAATTAAACCTCAATTTCACCTAAGAATTTTAAAAAATGATATATAAATGATGTATGAATCACATAAACCTATTCCCCCCTTTGATTCATAAATCATATCAAAATCACCCCAATATTGGAAAAAAAAATCGAAAAAAAATCAACTCATAATTTTTTTTTATTTTTATTTATCCATCAGTAGTCCATCCATCTTCCTCCAGATCAGGAACAGTCAACACCGGCATCTGAGTGTTGTCTCCAGGCATCATTCTCCAACCTATCTCAATATCATAGCTTTCTCAAAGATCAGTAACCAATTACAAACATCACACAGTGTTCATCAAAGCTGAAACTAAAATCTGACCCATCACTGCCCCTACTGGCCTAATTGATCTTGCAACCAAATCCTCCAAATGCATCCCTTATAATGCATCTATAACCCCAGTGATATTATCTGAACTATCTGGACTCAAAATATAACTAATATTTATCAATATGATCTTCCCAAATGTTACACCATACCATGAATAAAGTCTGCCCTTCTCCCTTAGACTTATCCTTCAATGATAGGCTTGAAGCCTATGACATGTCACCATGTCACCCTTTTAACCCTAGATTTAGCTGTGTCCAGTGCTATCCCTCTTATAATGATAAAACCTCATATGGAAGCTTCAACGTTGACATGTAACCAAATCCTGTCCATCCATAATGTAAGAATAAATATACTTTACCATCACAAACCCCCTCTAAATATCTCTAAAATTCCCCATAGTCCTAGGCAAAAGCTAATCTTTTAACCATCAACGTCCTGCTCTTCTTACTACCTGCTACCTAAAAAGTAACATATTTCTCATTACTACCCTTAAGGTCATGCTTATCCAAAGTTATCATATAACATCACACTCTGATCTTCCCATAAACATACCCCTTACCTCATATGTTTTATTAGAACAAAAACAACTTTTATCCCTCAATGTTTCACCTGAATACTTCAGGATTCCGTTGTTACCTGATTTTCCTTTCCCATTTAACAATTCCCATATTAATTCACTTAACCCAATTCCACCTAACCCTAGGCTTAAACCACTGTTCTGACAACTACATTATTTTATCTGTCAATGACTGTTGCCAATACCACAGTCATGACAAATCATAAGACTGACCCATACCTGATAGAGGCCGCGCGACTGTCTAACACGTTTGGTGCTGGAATTCTCAACAGACATGGACCTTCAAGATTCCTCACTGATCTTACAGAATGAGTTAATATATCTCCAATTTCCACAACAGAAGAACGAGCGGCACTGATCAGATACCTCTCCCTGTCCGTCATTAAAATCAAAGACCTCATCCTGTATCTCCATGATGAATCTATATTCTCTCTACTACTCTCTGTTCTCCTATTTTAACCCTATTCGTACTATCATTGACAGCACTCTCCATCCGTAACATAAACCCCTGAGTCCTTCTTGCTAACCCCCTTTAATTTCAGAACAGTTGTTGTCGATGCCATACTCCCTACATCGTATCATTAATCCCTTCCAAAGTTACCATTAAAGTAGTTGATTTAGTTGCTGTATCAACTCTAATTACTTCTAGTGCAAAGGTTCCCATTATCCTCGGTGTATTATCTACTGTTGGAGTGACTACTGTCCATTCAGTTCTACTCCTCCTGAACTCCCTCAATGACTGTGGAGGCTACAACAGACCTCAACTCTTCCATTATAGGCATCACTTTATGAATTACATAGCCCTTTAACCAATAATTCCTAACCGGAACAAATTCTAATGCTTGCACTAGATAAGTACACATATATTCTCCCTGACCTTTCTCTGTAACATTACGCAACATAAGTGAACAGTCACTCCTAACCTCTTCCACTTCATATCGTTGTACAAACTATCCCTCCTTTGACTAGGTGCAACAGCTTCTACTCCTGGTCCTGATAACAATACTTATTATCCATAATTATCTCTCCATATGGGAGGAACGTCCCCATCCTAAACCCTAATAAGTATTTTTCCCTAACATTGGTGCTGTATTGGTTCCCTTATAATCAAATGCAATATATTTATGGCTTTAATAACTATCCATGTTGAAAGAGTTAAATTGCTTCTCCCTGTTGTTCTAATAGACTGAAGTGTTAATGTCCTTATTTACTCCTAGTTTTCCCCCAGTTTTCCCCTAAGACTTTGAACTCTTTACTTGTACTTCCATCTATCACCACTAGTGTCACTTTTTCCCCAAATCTCAGTCCTATCTCTAAATCCCTGACTTTCAAACCTTTGATTACACAAAATACCCCTATAATTACCTTGATCTTCCTACTCTACAGTGTCATTCACCATTGTTCTCTCTCTCTCTTACTACTAACTTTAAAACTTAGCTTACTGTCTCAGAGTTCCTTCAACCCTAATCTACTCCTAACTTATTTTAATCTAATCTTTTCTCTCATAACATTTAAAACCTTTTCCCCTGATTTTCACAAAATCCCTTACCACCAAATTTGTAGAATATGTGATTGGGAAAGTTCCCCACCTGCTTCTGACTCATTACACACAGACTTGGCAAAACGTCTAAACACCTTTTAGCCTAGCCTGAAATCTCTTAGTGTAAGAATGTAACCCAGAATAAACAGTCACCCCTTTTAACTTTTCCAGACAGATTGTCTGACAGTCATCTAGTGTCCATCTTATTGTACAATTCAATTCTCTTCCCAACACTGCCATAACAGTATCTTCTAATATTAGTACCTTAAGAGTAATTAACCGTTTTACTACCTCAAATCCCTATCCTAATTAGTTATCAATTATTGAGATGTTTAACCTCTTTAGGTCGGTTGTTTTTACTTCAATAGTTAGCTATTTTCTCTTCTTCTCTAAATCGGTGCTCTCAGCTGACACCCCCCTTCATCTCTTCTAGAACAGGTGATCTTCACTTGCTCCTTCATCTTCCTCTGTTGTTTTCTCCTGGCGCATTTCCATCCCAGGTAAAGTCTGAGAGTTGCTGGAAGTGTAGCCGAAATCTTCCTCCTCCTAAGTCTTCTCATCCTCTTCCTCTCATTCTGTGTCTGTCCAGAAACTGATTGTGGATATGGAACATCTGGTACCCCCCCTTGGCTGGTACAATTGCATTTGATATTGTTCAGTTGAAGCTGTAACCGTGATTGTTGATTTGGTTCATTCTGATTCTTCATAACCAAAATTTATTTTCTCCTTCTCCAACTCTTGGGATTATTTTCTCAGCAGGTTCTCTTGGTCCTGTTCCTTCTCGTCTTTGACATATCAGTATTCTTCAACCTTAGTTCTAAGTTCTGTCCTCGAAATATCATCTTCCATCATCTTCTTACTTTTCTTCTGTGCCAGTCCTTGTAGGACAAACTCCTCTTGAAAATAAAGCACCTTTAATCTCCAAATCTTCATCGCTTTCTTCATCTTCAACTTCCATCAGAGATCAAATCTCGCGTATCCTTCTTCGTTTCTCTCTTGCCAACTTCCTTCTGATCACAGAGTCATATCCACCCATGCATAACCTCTTCATCATCACTCATCTTCATCATCCTCATCTTCTTTAAGCTCCCTCTTCTCTTCCAGACATCACATTTTCTTCCTTCTGGAGTTCTGGATTCATCTTTATCGTCATTTCTGCTTGTCCTCTATCTATTATTCGTCTTCTTCATCTCTGATGTAACAATCACCCTCCTAGATGATCACTGAAAGCTTCCTTCTCATAAGGTGAGTGTCTTTCTGCTGAATCCGTATGTGAGAAAGGTGTACTAACATCTGCCATTAGTCTCTCCTAACACTACCTTAGTTAAAGAATTACTATTTTACCCCTATATCAAAACTATCTTATTTTAGACTGTATAGCCTATGGCTTCCCCCCTTAAATTATTAATATAACCCTAACAACCCCAAAAAAACAACAACAAAAAAAAAGATTTTTTTTTTTTTCCTCCCTAAAAATAAAATAAAATAAAATATGAATATTAAAAAATTCAATTAAATGCCTTATTCAAAAACCATTTAATTAAAAAATTAAAAACCAATTAAAAACTCAATTAAAAACTATGAATAATTTAAAACCAATTTTTATTCCTATATCCTATGTCACCAACTTATCCATTAGTGGTGGCTATATTACCACAACCCATCAACTGCAAGTAAATGAAGTTAGTCAACTTCAAAGCAATCCCCAAAAAACAAAGCCTCTAACCCTTCAATACTACAATTCCCATAACCCCTTGTTCTATCAGATAAGTTATCTTAAATTTACAGAACAATCCTCAATCCATCCTTGATTCCCAACACATCTGTAATCAAACCCCAGTGATACACAGAGCTTCCAAAATGCAATTTTTAATGAAATAGTATTTGCCAAGCCTATGTAAAATTGTCATAACATCACATATTCTGTTAGGATGATTTTGTGTACTAGCCTGATCTGATCCTCTCGTCTGCCTCGTCACACCTTGTCACGTGACGCACACGTCAGCCCCTTCTCTCTCTCCTCTCGTTCCATGTTCCTCTCATATTTCAAAAAAACATAGAAACACACACGATTTCAGCAGTTAATGCAATCACTGAGTATTTCCAACCATTCAATATTCGTTCGTTCTATTCACTCTAAGACTAAACTCAGAATTAAATAGATCGCTCAAAAACATTTTTTTATTTTATTTTAATCCGTTATTTAATTATTTAATTAAATTTATTATAATCCGCTACCATATATCTAATTTATAAATTCAATAAGTTACAAAACAAGTTTCATCTTTAACCAATCGCAGTTTAAACTAGAATCATCGTGTTAAAATTTCTCCTCTGTCTATTTTCCCTTGCAGGGTAATGCCAAATGGGACCTATGACCTGTACCCCACCATTTTGTTTTGTAGGCTTAACTCACCCTCATGTCGTAGTTTTTAGCCCCGTAGAATCAACACGTGTCCTAATCTCGTGTCATAAACTCCCCCTTTCTGTAGGGTAGTATCGCAAAATTAAACGCATGCGCACAACCATTCAAAAATCCCTTCTCACCGTGGAAGGAAGATTTTCTATTCTCTCTCTCCCCAAACAGACAAAATAACAGCCCAGCTGTAACTTCCCTTTTCCCCTTATAGTCAAACAACATTTAACAGCGCTCACAAAACATATAACCTGACTTAAACACAGAGACAAATTTAAGAGACTTTAATCCATCGCAATGGAATCTCTAAGGATACGTTAGCATGTAGCACACAACACAATTAGCCTTAGCCACGATGTACCATGTAGCATGAAACACACTCTAGCATTCCTTAGCAACGATGTACCACGTGGCCTGAACCAATCCAGCATTAGCCTTAGCCTCTAGCTAACTGCGGTCTACCCAGCCCTAAGTAACCTGCATTGCGTCTTTAATTGAGTACTGTTTCGTTTGTCCTAAATTTATTCTGCCGTGGGTATGGCTATTTCAGTGAGCGATCCCCCCCAATGCAACTATCCCGTCGAACAGAAGTTGAGTAAGCCATCCCCAAGAAATGTCCCACCAACCCCCAGTCCCAGACTGAACCTGAACACTCCTAATGCATGTCCAGGATTTTGGCCCACCCTGGTGGTCGCCCCGTTCGTCACGAGGGCTTATCTAAACCTGCAATGCCCTAAAGAATGCGCATATCTGAATTTACCAACCATTGTCACCCGTTACCAATGAAATATAACCTTATCATTGCCCATAGTTACCAATGAAATAACCTCATCATTGCCCATAGTTACCAATGAAATAACCTCATCATTGCCCATAGTTACCAATTAAATAACCTTATCATTTTTCCCCCTAAATTTCTCATTGCCACTCGTTACCAATGAAATAACATTTTAATGCTCTAAATCCTCATTGTCTATCGTTACCAATGAAATATAAACTTCTACCGTTCCTTTTGCTCTAAATTTGTCATTGCCCATAGTTACCAATGAAATAACATTTTAGCAGACTCCAGTCGACCAGCAACAACGCCACCGAGGCCAGGTCATATGGAACATCTCTTCAGTGTACACAAGTCATATCCAATCTAACCAACTCCGAAGCAGTAAGGAAAACTCACCCTTTCGGCCATGCTTCAGAGAGAGAGTTAGCCTGGCGATTGACTGAAACAAGGAAGAGACGCAAACCCAGCCCCACGTTGGGCGCCATTATGTCGTATCTGATGAGTGGTGGCAAATATTGTTGTCAACACAGAGTCCGTTATGCTGCATCGTGTGAGAGGCTTTTATTAAAATCACGAGTTTACAGCATAGGTACAGACCCGCGATGTCCGGAGAACGGCTCCCCAGATTGCTATGGCCGTTCTGACGTTCCTCGCCTAACCCCCTTATTTATAAACAATGAAACTCCCTCAATCACCAGTCTCCCCTTTATATAGCCTTCCAAGAGTTGAATAGCTCCCTCTACTGTCCAATCCCCGTATCTTACAACCCACTTCCTGTCTGTCATATGTCATTATACTAAACATTGCCTTTTGATACTAACATAACCAACATTCCATTTCTTCATGAAAAACATTTAACAAAGGCATAATCTTCAGATACTATAGGTCTAACAGGGAGGCAAAGGCAATGGCATCCAGCTGTCCATTGGTCAGAGAAGGATTGTTGTTTGGTACTACAAAAATAGCAATTTCTGCACTAGGCTGCAACTTTATATCAAATGCTTCAGAAAGGGTTTTAGATATAGTGGACCAATAATCTGCCAGACGGGTCAGGACCAGAACATGTGGGTCAAGTCCCCCCCAAGCAGCCTTTTCCCCTTTGTCACATGTGCCATCGATATTTGGGTAGAATTTGGACAATCTGATCCGTCGATATGATGTCATAGTGGATTCTATTCGAGAGGCAAGCAATTTCGCTAATATTTTTACATCTGCATTTAAAAGTGAGATCGGTCTGTATGAGCCCGGGCAAAGATGCATCTTTGCTTGGTTTTAACAAAAGTGTGATCGACGCCTCTGTATGGTCCCGGGCATTTTCAAACATTTTCAAGCATAAGTTTAGCCAGTTTGGCAGAAAACTTATAGTAGAATTCGATTGGGTAGCCATCTGGGCCAGGGGATTTCCCACTTTGCATTGCTGTAATTGAATTAATAATCTCCTCTAACTGCAAAGGTTGATCAATTTCCTCTCTCTTCTCTGTACTAATGGTAGGAGTTTCCAAGTTGTCAAGAAAATCATTCATAATTGAATTGTCTTCAGGTGATTCTGACGTGTAAAGATCTGAATAAAATAAAAAAGGAAAGTATTATTGATTTCAGTGGGACTAACTGTTAAGACACCCGAGGTGTTTTGAATTTGAGGGATCAGCTGTGAGGCAGATTTGCACTTGAGTTGATGAGCTAGAAGTCGACCAGCCTTTTCTCCATGTTCGTAAACAAAACCACGTGAGCGGAGTAGCTGCTTCCCAGCCTTATCTGTGGATAGTAAATTGGACTGAGTTTGAAGACTCAGCCTTTCTTTGGAAAGTTCTGGTGATGGAGAGGCGGAGTATTTGTTGCTCTAATTCCAGAATTGCGTCGATCAGCTGTTTAATTGTCCGTTGTTTATTGAGAAGAGGGGAATAGGAAATTATTTCGCCTCTAAGAACAACTTTAAGTGTTTCCCAAAGTGTAGATGGAGAGATCGATTCTGTTTTATTTGTCTCAACAAAGACATCAATCGCATTCGATAGAATGGTGCAGAATGAATTGTTTGAAAGTAAAGATGAGTTAAGTCTCCATGGGGGGGCGATCTGTATAGTTCAATGAGAGGTCGAGCGACAGAGGATCGTGGTCACTAATAACAATGGCAGAGTATTCTACTTTCTTAACAGAGGGGAGAAGGGCTTTATCTACGAAAAAGTAGTCTATTCTAAAATAGGAGTGGTGCACATGTGAAAAGAAAGAAAATTCTTTGTTACTGGGGAAAAGGAATCTCCATGGATCTACACATCCCGTCTGGCTCATAAACGCAGACAAAGTGCTGGACGTTTGAGGGAGATAATGATCGAGGGTTTGGAGGCGACAATTCAAGTCGCCTCCAAAAATTCAATAGTGTGAGTTGAGATTTGGGCAGCCAAGAAATACGTTTGTTAATAAACTCCAACATCATCCCAATTGGGAGCATACACATTTACAAGCAAAACAGAGGTGTGAAAGAGAGAACCAGATACCATAACAAAATGCCCGTGTGGATCCGATATTATATCAGCAGCGGTAAATTGTACTTTCTTTCTTCTATGAATAAGTATTGCTGTTCCCTTTGCCTCAGCATTGAATTTTGAATGGAATATTTGTCCTACCCAAGCTTTACGGAGTCTACCATGATCTGCTGTACACAGATGTGTTTCTTGTAGAGAAGGCTATATCGTTTTTTTTTTATTCTTAAGATGAGCAAATACTCTAGCCCGTTTAACCGGGCCGTTCATTGCCTTGACGTTCCAGCTTGTAACTGACACCCCACAACTCCCACCCCAATATCTGAATTGTTAGTCATTAAAATTTGAGATTACTAAATTATAACCGGAATAGAGATGAAAGCCCTTGCCTTAGCCGAATTGTCTAAGAAAATTGAGGAGAGGAAACCCCCATTTTAATTGCGTCTATAATCAATAGCCTAACTGTTATATGTGCCTGGCTTTATAAATGATCCATATATATCTACGGAAATAAGACTGATCCTGCTTCTGTTGCCTGTTTTGAGTGTTTGTTTAATAGCCTACTGATTCAGTGAGCACCAAGCCTCACGCAACGGCAAAATGTCGGATAAAACAATTTCACAGATTCGGCTGTTTTTAATCATTGCTATGCTGTAATAAAGGCTTTACCAAAAAAATTATAATTTTTAGAACAGACTGGTATTACTTATAATTTTATTTAGTGTTTACACTGTTCCAAACGGGCAGAAAAATAATGTTGTAATCTAACAGCACCTGTTTGTCACACACAATATGCACGCAGCTCTCGCTCCTATATCCTCCTTTTTCTCATTATTATTATTATTATTATTATTATTATTATTATTATTATTATTATTATTATAATAAGTAAAGTCATTATCATTAGTAGGCTTAGTATAGCAGCCTTGTACAACCACCATTGAGCTCTAGGCCTAAGAGCGCGTCCTGTTCAGTCTTAATACCGTAACTTACTTAGGCCTATTTTTAAATCAATCATTAATTCGTTAATGCCATCACACAGCATACGAGACGTTCACGCTTTGAAATGCAATCAAGCATTTTAGTTTTTTTTAATTTAAATAACAAAGGGAGCTTAGAATAATTATCCTAAACAATAAATACACTGCAATTCACGGAAGCATGCAACTGTTTTTAGTCTGCCTTTTAATAAAGGCTTTGTCTTTTTTTTAAAAATTAGAACAGACTCTCTGGTACACTTATTTAGTGTTTACACTGTTACAAAAGTTCAGAAAAAGTAATAATATTGTAATCTAACAGCAACTCACGTAGCGCTTGCTGCTATACCCTCCTTTTTCTTGATATCCAGTCATTTCCACAACTAAGTCAAATGTCTTCCACAGATCTGACTTCCCCTTTCCCGCCCGTTTTCGAGTTTTCTTTTTCACGTCCTCCGCGTCCATTTCGCTGTCACGTGTTACGGTGTTCGGAGTTTGTTATAACCAATTTATTGATGTGATTCTGATAGGCTATAGGTCAGGCCCTATTGGTCACGTGCACGCGACGCTTACATGTTTCACGTAAAGACAGCAAAGGGTTGAGGGGAATAGGGAATTTTTCTCCTAAACAAATGAGGGATTTCGGTAAAAGAACTTTTCAGTCAGAAACAAGTAAGAAACTAAAATGGCTGAAATTATGTTGCAGCTTCAGCACGGACAGCGCAGTAAACACTTTCTGTGATGTGGTGCCTTTTCTCTGCAGTAGGGAGGAGAGCGAGACAACGTTTGCCAGTCACACAGGCACTCTGTCATTTTTATTTAACACAGTGTGACCATCGGGCTCTTGAGTCATTTGTGTTTTAATTATTTAATCAAACAGTGTGCATATAGCATCAGACATGCATACAGTGAGGGGGGAAAAAGTATTTGATCCCCTGCTGATTTTGTACGTTTGCCCACTGACAAAAACATGATCAGTCTATAATTTTAATGGTAGGTTTATTTGAACAGTGAGAGACAGAATAACAACAAAACAATCCAGAAAAACGCATGTCAAAAATGTTATAAATTGATTTGCATTTTAATGAGGGAAATAAGTATTTGACCCCTCTGCACGTTTCGCCAGGTTTGCACACATCTCAGGAGGGATTTTGTCCCACTCCTCTTTGCAGATCTTCTCCAAGTCATTAAGGTTTCGAGGCTGACGTTTGGCAACTCGAACCTTCAGCTCCCTCCACAGATTTTCTATGGGATTAAGGTCTGGAGACTGGCTAGGCCACTCCAGGACCTTAATGTGCTTCTTCTTGAGCCACTCCTTTATCGCCTTGGCCGTGTGTTTTGGGTCATTGTCATGCTGGAATACCCATCCGCGACCCATTTTCAATGCCCTGGCTGAGGGAAGGAGGTTCTCACCCAAGATTTGGCGGGAGATGGCCCCGTCCATCGTTCCTTTGATGCGGTGAAGTTGTCCTGGCCCCTTAGCAGAAAAACACCCCCAAAGCATAATGTTTCCACCTCCATGTTTGACGGTGGGGATGGTGTTCTTGGGGTCATAGGCAGCATTCCTCCTCCTCCAAACACGGCGAGTTGAGTTGATGCCAAAGAGTTCGATTTTGGTCTCATCTGACCACAACACTTTCACCCAGTTCTCCTCTGAATCATTCAGATGTTCATTGGCAAACTTCAGACGGCCCTGTATATGTGCTTTCTTGAGCAGGGGGACCTTGCGGGCGCTGTAGGATTTCAGTCCTTCACGGCGTAGTGTGTTACCAATTGTTTTCTTGGTGACAATGGTCCCAGCTGCCTTGAGATCATTGACAAGATCCTCCCGTGTAGTTCTGGGCTGATTCCTCACCGTTCTCATGATCATTGAAACTCCACGAGGTGAGATCTTGCATGGAGCCCCAGGCAGAGGGAGATTGACAGTTATTTTGTGTTTCTTCCATTTGCGAATAATCGCACCAACTGTTGTCACTTTCTCACCAAGCTGCTTGGCAATGGTCTTGTAGCCCATTCCAGCCTTGTGTAGGTCTACAATCTTGTCCCTGACATCCTTGGAGCGCTCTTTGGTCTTGGCCATGGTGGGGAGTTTGGAATCTGATTGATTGATTGCGTCTGTGGACAGGTGTCTTTTATACAGGTAAAAAGATGAGATTAGGAGCCCTCCCTTTAAGAGTGTGCTCCTAATCTCAGCTCGTTTCCTGTATAAAAGACACATGGGAGCCAGAAATCTTTCTGATTGAGAGGGGGTCAAATACCTATTTCCCTCATTAAAATGCAAATCAATTTATAACATTTTTGACATGCGTTTTTCTGGATTTTTTTGTTGTTATTCTGTCTCTCACTGTTCAAATAAACCTACCATTTAAAATTATAGACTGATCATTTCTTTGTCAGTGGGCAAACGTACAAAATCAGCAGGGGATCAAATACTTTTTCCCCCCTCACTGTATGTAGTTGATTTTATTCAAACACATATAGTGTGTCTATATATGAAGAAAAAAATGTTTAAACATTTCGACCAATCGATTGGTCGAAAGAAAAGGACGACCCTCGGCGACCAAGATTTTTTGGGGGGGTCGGGGACAGCCCTAGTGTGTGGCAAGTGTACCTTCTGGGTTTGGTTGTTTTTATCTAGATTCTAGATTCACCATGTCTGTCACTTTCTACTCTAATGGGGTGCTCAGATTGCACAGTATATCTCTGGCACCGAGTTCTTCAGTTGTCCCAGACAGAGGTCACTATTTAAAGTCGCGCTAATTGCGTAGTGCAATTAGACTAGAGGACTGGATGGAGGGGTGAGCCCTGGTGAAGTGTACCTGCCTTCTCTCTCCAGGGTGCTGCAATGCCAAAACAGAGGGCCGCTCATGCCGACAGCTACCGGAGGATCGGTGGACTCTGACTGACAGACAGCAGCTTGGCAGTTTATAACATCCCCCAGTCCAGTCTTCCTTACTTTCTGACTGTCGGCCATCACTTAACCCCAGCCCCACCCAGACTCCTCTCCCCTGAATTGCCTACCTGGCAGTTTCGAACTCCCTCAGCCCAGTCCTCCAAACCTGTCCTCCTCACGTAACCCTAGCCCCACCCAATCCTCCAGGATTTCCCTGAATTTCCCCATACCCGACTTGCTTGAAGCACTGGAAGACGGAAACTTCTGGGAGCGTGTTCTGGGAGCGTGTTCCGTCATTATAGGAGATGACCAGTGATCTGAATGGGATGTTACAACCAGTGATCTGAATGGGAATGTGTAATGATTGTATGCATCCACTAGGTGGCAGAGTATCAGAGTAAAACAGGCTAGTCCCTTGTTATTTTCCTCAAATTAAAGGGCTTTCTGAAACAACTTCAGCTCTAACAGTAGGTGAACTGTTGAGTCAAAGGTTCATGAAATATGCTCTGATTGCAGTAGATTCCTAGTTTCAACAGAATGTATTATGTGAAATATTTTTAAAGATTACCTGCATATTGCTAATTTTTGCACTTAACCCACAACATTTACATTTTTACATTTTAGTCATTTAGCAGACGCTCTTATCCAGAGCGACTTACAGTTAGTGACTGCATACATTTTTCATACTGGCCCCCTGTGGGAATCGAACCCACAACCCTGGCGTTGCAAACGCCACGCTCTACCAACTGAGCTACAGGAGGCCAACCGTCAATATCAACTGATTTGATTTTTGTGTATCTTTGTCACACAAAAATGTACCTTTTTTAATTGGTGAATATGCTCACCTCTCACTGCAGGTACTGTATATCTGAAAGTACTGTGGTTTATTGTAAACTGGACCAGTTCATTACCAACAGTATTGGACTCGAAGGGACCAACAACAGTTTGATTGTAAACAAATGTTCACGTTTTCATGCTATTTATCTGAACGCTTTGATTCATGTTCTTCCATCACTTTTATCATGTTGCTGTAGCAACCATGTAGGACCATGTTAGTATAGTTACCATGGTTATTTAGGAGCTGTGATAGTCCAGACTGAACCGAGAATAGTCAGATCTAGGTCTCAGGGTCTTTAGATAGATGTCAAACCACAGTTTTATTCTCTATTGCTCTGTGTGTGTGTGTGTGTGTGTGTGTGTGTGTGTGTGTGTGTGTGTGTGTGTGTGCTTCTGTTTCGTTCATTTTTATTTAAATTAGAACGATCATGACTTTTTTATTTATGAGTATTTATGTTTTGTAGAATGTATTTAAGTTTCTGGATCAATGAGTTGAAAACAATGTAATATTTATTCATTTGTTTTTATCCATTTTCATTTAGCTATGATGTCACTTTTTCATAACTGCACTAGAATGTATTTCACTGGAAATAATCAAGACAAATAAAGCATCTAGTTTAGTGTTTAGTGTTCCAAGTACCTTCTCCCTTGTTGTTCTATACCACATACTCTGATGGTATCCTCGCTGATGTTATCTTCAAACACATCTTTGTTATTGCAAGAATATATTACCACATAGAAGACAATCCTTTTTCTACACCTATTTACCAGCTATGAGCATTTTGCAGGTCATACAGCCAGACGGGCAGTACAGTACTCCGACTAGCTATTTACTTGTGTGATTTAAACCATACGTGTGTTTTTACTTTTTCTTTCACTTTTAACATGCCAGATGATACATAAAGATGGTTAAACATGCCAGATGATACATAAAGATGGTTAAACATGCCAGATGATACATAAAGATGGTTAAACATGCCAGATGATACATAACGATGGTTAAACATGCCAGATGATACATAAAGATGGGTAAACATGCCAGATGATACATAAAGATGGTTATGCCAGATGATACATAAAGATGGTTATGCCAGATGATACATAAAGATGGTTATGCCAGATGATACATAAAGATGGTTATGCCAGATGATACATAACGATGGTTAAACATGCCAGATGATACACAACGATGGTTAAACATCTGTATACATCTTCTCCATCACCAGGATGAGAGGGTGATGATGATGATGAAGATGGAGGAACGTATGAGGGAGATCGAGCTGTCGCTGCATGACGTCAAGCTGCTGCTCAAAGAGAAGGTCTCCCAACTGAAAGATCAGGTACACTTTAATCAATAGGCTAAATATATGATTACCTATTTCTATATACATTTTAGCCATTTAGCAGACTTTTATCCAAAACAACTTACAGGAGCAATTAGGGTTAGGTGCCTTGCTCAAGGGCACGTCGACAGATTTTTCACCTAGTCGGCTCTGAACCAGCAACCTTTCTGTTTACTGGTCCAACACTATTAACCACTAAGCTACCTGCTGCCCCTGTTAAAGCCCTCAGTCAGTGGTCTCTTTACTATGAGATCTCAGGATCTGTTATCAGTTTTTCTCTATTGGTTTTACTGAGGGAGGTTGCCTAGCAATTATTGTGACTTGGATAATGTCAAATGAGAATTGTTTATTGAGCCCTCATACAAGTTATTACAAAATAAAAATGTATTGAATCGATGCAGTGTAAATGAATTGAATCGATGCAGTGTAAATGTATTGAATCGATGCAGTGTAAATGTATTGAATCGATGCAGTGTAAATGTATTGAATCGATTCAATGTAAATGTATTGAATCGATTCAATGTAAATGTATTGAATCGATTCAATGTAAATGTATTGAATCGATTCAATGTAAATGTATTGAATCGATGCAGTGTAAATGAATTGAATCGATGCAGTGTAAATGTATTGAATCGATGCAGTGTAAATGTATTGAATCGATGCAGTGTAAATGTATTGAATCGATGCAGTGTAAATGTATTGAATCGATGCAGTGTAAATGTATTGAATCGATGCAGTGTAAATGTATTGAATCGATGCAGTGTAAATGTATTGAATCGATGCAGTGTAAATGTATGATGACACAGTATCTGGGTTAGATACTTAGTGACAACTGCTGATGTAAAAAGGGCTTTATAAAATAGATGTGGTTGGTTGGTTGATGGTTAATGTTCCCACTCTGTTCTGTCTCTAGCACCACAAGAACGGTAAAGCTGATTTGTTGATCAAGGACCTGTATGTGGAGAACGCCCAGCTGCTGAAAGCCTTGGAGATGACCGAGCAGAGACAGAAAGTATCAGAGAAGAAGAACTACCTACTGGAAGAAAAGATCTCCAGCCTCAACAAGATAGTCAGAGACCTGAGCCCCTCACCCCTACCCCCCATGCCTTACCATTTTACCTGTTCCTAACCCTACACCTGAGCCCCTCACCACTACCCCCCATGCCTTACCATTTTACCTGTTCCTAACCCTACACCTGAGCCCCTCATCCCTACCTCCCGTACCCTACCACTTGACCGGTTCTTAAGACTATACCTAACCTTAGCCCCTCACCCCTACCCCCATTCCCCTCACCTCTACCCCCAGTCCTATAATAATACATTACATTTGTAGAGCGCTTTTCATTTCCAGACGTAAATCCCAAAGCTCTTTACAGAGAAACCATTCAAAGAAAAAAGCTTGAATAAAAGGACTAAAGACATTAGGTGAGAAATTAAGACACTTTACTTTATTAATTCAACCATAATTTTTTTTTTTATATAAAACAAGCACACAAAAAAAGCCATACATGCACATTAGTAAAATCATGGAGGATAACGCACAAGAAAGTCTGGGACTTATTTCCATTGTGGTCCTCCGGAAACAAGATGGCTAGGCGAGCTCCAACAGGGTTGAACACGGTACGACAGCGAGATAATACAGCATAAAAACAAAGAAGAAGAACATCTATCTCATCATACACAGAATAATACAGGAGGCGACAAGGACGGAACATTAAAACTTGAAACGTAACGCCAACAGACAGCACAACATAGATCACATAAGTGATCTGTAGCTCAGCTGGTAGAGCACGGCGCTTGTAAACGCCAGGGTAGTGGGGTTCGATCCCCGGGACCACCCATACGTAAAAATGTATGCACACATTATTATTATTATGACTGTAAGTCGCTTTGGATAAAAGCGTCTGCTAAATGGCATATTATTATTATTATTATTATTATTATTATTATTATTATTATTATTATTATTATTATAAAGCCAGTTTGAAGAAGTGTTTCTTGATCTCAGACTTAAAGGCAGTGGTGAGGAGGGAGCTTGTTCCAGATTGTCACCCATCATTTTTTTTTTAGGTGTGTCTTTGAGACTGCACGGAGTCTTTGATCATTTGACCGGAGTGAACCTGAAGACTGTTTGGAGCTGAGGAGTTCACCGAGTTATTGGGGACCAGAGGCATTGAGGGTTTTGAAGACTAACAGGAGGATTCTGAATTGGATGGGCAGCCAGTGGAGAGAGACTAGAATGGGGGGGGGGTGATGTGGGCAGATCACTGGGCTCCTGTGCGGTTCCTGACAGCGCTGTTCTGCACAAGCTGCAGCCTGTGGATACTTTTTGACGGGAGACCATCAAGGAGGGCATTGCAGTAATCGAGTCGGGAGGTGACGAGGGAGTTAACCAGCTTTTCCAGATCAGATTTGGAGAGAACAGGACAGAGCCAGGAGATGTTTCTCAGGTTAAATTATTATTATTTTTGCAGTCCAATTATTTGTTTTATGGTCGGAGAAAGTGAGGGGTCCAGTAACACTCCAAGGTTGGAGACTGAGGAGGACAAAGACTACACTCCACCTGAGCCCACCTGTGCCAGTCCTCTACCCCCTAACTATGATAAGCAACCAGTAACTATTGATTTTAGGGTTGATTTTAAAAAGCTAAACCTAGAATATGTATTTTTGTTTGTTAAATAAATTAGACCATGCCCATTTCAAGCTCATCTTTATAAAAAAAAATAGAAAGTTATATCAGAATATTTAGGTAAGTTAGCCGGCTAACTATTTGATCCTGCTTTGTAGATCCCCTCTGGTCCTGTTGTCAGAGCCTCTCTAATGCTATTCCAGTCCACCGCCAGCACCTGCTTCAACACTCCCAGTGAAGTATTTCACCAGCGTCGTCTTATTCATTTAAAGTAGGAATATTTTAACTATGACATTTAGAAATGTTTCAACGTTTTTATTTTTATTTTATAGAGGAAACCTAGTGGTTACATAGCAGAAGATAACATACCATGCCTATCAAATTAACTTTTCATTTAATCTCCAGTTTACCATGACACTAAACCACTGTACCAGAGAACATTCCTGATAATGAATGACTTTGAATGACAGCCCATTCTCATATGGGATGGGAGGATATTTGTAGGTATTTATACAGTTGGGCTATCCCTTCAAAACAGACTTTGACAAGAGGCTCTTGGGATGGGGCCACTGGTCTATTTGGCTACAAACAGAAGTGCTATCCTTCAAACCACAAAAAACAAAAAACAAAAAAGAGGAGTTATTTTCAACTGTGCGCAAACGTAGCTACGGTATGACTTCACTATGGTATTCCCATCCCACAACCCTCCGCGGCTTGACTGGAATGGGTTGAGTAGGCGTTGGGCCGTTTATGTGAAGTGGGGTGATGACTTGGGCTGGGTGCTGGATACATCCACTGAATGAAAAAACTACTTCGATTTCAACTGGCTTGGAGAAGAAAATCAATGATTTAACTGGGCGAAAATAGTTTACTTCTAGAGTTAGTTGGATACAAGCAATCGTTCTGTTTTGGCTTTTTATCTAGATTGCCAGAAACAAGTATGCGTAAGTTAACTAACGTTAGCTAGCTAGCTAACGTTTAATCAAGTCTGTAGCTAATTAGGCTCGCTAGCTAGCTATCTAGTTAGCTAAAATGTACACACTGCAGATTGGAAGGGACGCTTGTAGTTTTTGGGGAACTTTCCACGAGTTTCTTACATTGCATTGATGTCTCCTTTTTGAGTTATGCTTTCAAGAAAGAAAAGTAAAAGCGAAGCGTCGAAACCAGCCGAGGTACACGGGAAATATGTCAAGAAGGAGACTTCACCAGTGCTGAGAAGTAAGTTGACTAGCTAAATTCGCTACCTAGGTTAGTTAGTTAGCAATGTCTCTCAGTTAAGTTTTTACAAGTCGTGCGTTTTTGGTCATATGATGATACCCAAGCATAAGACGCTTGGTAAACTTTATTATATCTAATAGTTACTGTGGCTTCTGCATGGCTAACTAGCAGTTAGCTTGCTAACGTTTGCCAAAGTTGATAGTTATGCGGCTAGCTAGTTAGCTAGCTCTGGTCCCGAGTGTTACATGCGGCTTGAGTTGCCTTCAACGCCCAGCAACTCACCATTCATCCATCCATTGTGGATTTCCAAACCTGATTTTGTTGAGTGAATGGCTTCAATACACTTTCGTTACTAACCAAAGAGTAAAGATGTTGCTAAAGCGCTAACGAGTCGAACTCTTCTGTATGCGCAAAGTTTAGAGACATGGACGGATTCCAAGATCTTTGTGTCAATTATCAGATTCTGTGGAATGGTAAATTATTATAGAATACCCAACTTTTTGAAGCTTGTACCCCCCCCCTTCCCTCCCTCGTTCTTGACACATACACCTGTTGGTCGTATTTCAGATCTCATGCCCTCATTCATCCGACATGGACCCACAATTCCCAGACGCACAGAGGTCCCTCTGCCTGAGCCGGGACCCTCAGCCTACCCCGTGGGACCCAGCCCTGAGCCTGTGGTGGCCCGCAACAAGAGCTTCCTGCGCACCCCTGTGCAGAGACCACCGCAAGAGGTGGCTCGAAGGGAAAGCCATAGGATGTCAGCCCCTCCGTACCTACCACGTAGCCTGGGGGACCTACCCCACGAGTACGGAGGCTCTTCACAGTCCTTCCTCACGGACGTGAGCCCCATGGCTGAGAACGGGGACGCTGGCCGCTACTATTACCCCCCTCCTCCGGAGCCTTACTACGACAGCCAGCAGCAGCAGCAGCAGAGACGGCCTCAGCAGCCCAGAGCCTCTGACCGCTTCCATGACGACTATAGATACTATGAACACAATGAACATCCAAACTTCCAAAGACTACCACCGCAACAACACGCTTCCCCGGCCCCTAACAGACCGCCAGAAGGTAAGCATAAAGGGGTGGTTTCCCGGACATAGATTCATCTTAGTCCTGGATTAAAAAACAAAAATAAAAAATGCTTTTTAGTCCAGGACTAGGCTAAACTGTACCCCAAATAAGTCTTACGTATAATGCATTGTTTTATCAGTTGAACCCATTTCAATTTGATACAATATCCAATAAGGCATAAACGCCCACACCAGTAGACATCTATGTTTTTTGAGCTGAAAGACGATGGCCAGCGCTTACCCGTGATGTTGCACAACGATTTAAGTCAAGTCGTAATTTTAGTAAGTATGATATATTTGGGCTTGAAGTGACAAATCTGAACTGCCCACTTCGTCCAAATCTGTGTGAATACGGTGTCTTTTCCTATGATATGACAAACTATTTTCGGGCTACGTTTTGTTTGAATGTTATCACCCACCAGCATGGCATTGTTTTATTATTCAGAAACAGCTGCAAAGTTCTTCCTGTTGGTGACTGAGATGAGCCAAACAGCCCTGTGTCCGCTAGGATATAGATATGGGATATGGGATATAGATATGGGATATAGGCACGGTTATTCGGTAGTATTCGATTACTTGCGAGAGTATTTCTTTTTGAGGGGAAAAAAAAATATATATATATTGGGCTGTTTTAATTAAAAGGCTTGGTCTAAAATGTAATTATCTATGTGGCATTGTTACAAACAAGGATAGACCATGACGTAATTTTTTTTTATAAAACAGTTTTATGGCAGTTTTTGTGAGTGCGCCCCATTTTTTTAAAAACAACATACCGGTAGCCTACTTTTCACCTGTGTAGCTTGTTATTGTCGGTCAATCAAAGCAGCACTACCGTCAGAGGCTCCATGTGTAGAAAGTGAAGTGGAAGATTTCTAATCAATGCAAAATGGAATTACAATTACGGAATTAAGTTGGCTAAATGAGAAGGAGTTGGCTACAATGATCAACTAACAGGTAGGCTGTTTAATATGAGTGGAGACGTTGTAGACAAGGATGAGGAGCGCGGCAAAAACAGCCTCAACTGGCTAATTAACTTAGCTGGCTAGTGTAGCTGGCTAGTGTAGCTGGCTAGTGTAGCTGGCTAGCTTCTTTACATCGATTTGATGCAGTCAAGACAGACGCTACCAGATGAGATGATGGAGAACCTTGCGCAGCAACAAGTTTGTCTTCTCCCTCCCTCCCTGGGGGTCCTTTAAATGTCTTTGGAATGTGGGTTATTAAAGGCGGTGGTGCTGGCAGGGCCCTACACCTGGCCTGCGTCCCAAATGGCTATATAGGGAATAGTAGGTTACCATTGCCTTGCTCATGGGATGTGGTGAGTAGCTAGCTCATGGGATGTGGTGAGTAGCTAGCTCATGGGATGTGGTGAGTAGGCAGCTCATGGGATGTGGTGAGTAGCTAGCTCATGGGATGTGGTGAGTAGGCAGCTCATGGGATGTGGTGAGTAGGCAGCTCATGGGATGCGGTGAGTAGCTAGCTCATGGGATGTGGTGAGTGGGCAGCTCATGGGATGTGGTGAGTGGGCAGCTCATGGGATGCGGTGAGTAGGCAGCTCATGGGATGCGGTGAGTAGCTAGCTCATGGGATGTGGTGAGTGGGCAACTCATGGGATGCGGTGAGTAGGCAGCTTCAATGCCATACAACACTCCTTCAGTAGCCTCCAACTGCTCTTAAACACTAGTAAAACTAAATGCATGCTCTTCAATCGAACGCTGCTGGCACCCGCCCACCCGACTAGAATCACTACTCTCGACGGGTCTGACCTAGAGTATGTGGACAACTACAAATACCTAGGTGTCTGGATGGACTGTAAACTCTCCTTCCAGACTCACGTTAAGCATCTCCAATCCAAAGTTAAATCTAGAATCGGCTTCCTGTTTCGCAAAACAAAGCCTCCTTCACTCATGCTGCCAAACATGCCCTCGTAAAACGGACTATCCTACCGATCCTTGACTTCAGCGATGTCATTTACAAAATAGCCTCCAACACTCTACTCAGCAAATTGGATGTAGTCTATCACAGTGCCATCCGTTTTGTCACCAAAGCCCCATATACTACCCACCATTGTGACCTGTACGCTCTTGTTGGCTGGTCCTCACTACATATTCGTCGCCAAACCCACTGGCTCCAGGCCATCTATAAATCACTGCTAGGCAAATCCCCGCCTTATCTTAGCTCATTGGTCACCATAGCAACACCCACCCGTAGTATGCGCTCCAGCAGGTATATCTCACTGGTCATCCCCAAAGCCAACACCTCCTTTGGCCGCCATTGCTTCCAGTTCTCTGCTGCCAATGACTGGAACAAATTGCAAAAATCTCTGAAGCTGGAGACACTTATCTCCCTCACTAACTTTAAGCATCAGTTGTCAGAGCACCTTACCGATCACTGCACCTGTACACAGCCCATCTGAAATTAGCCCACCCAACTACCTCATCCCCATATTGTTATTTATTTAGCTCATTTGCACCCCAGTATCTCTATTTGCACATCATCTCTTGCACATCTATCATTCCAGTGTTAATACTAATTGTAATTATTTTGCACTATGGCCTATTTATTGCCTTACCTCCATAACTTGCTACATTTGCACACACTGTATATATATTTTCTGTTGTATTTTTGACTTTATGTTTTTTATCCCATATGTAACTCTGTGTTGTTGTTTTTATCGCACTGCTTTGCTTTATCTTGGCCAGGTCGCAGTTGTAAATGAGAACTTGTTCTCAACTGGCTTACCTGGTTAAATGAAGGTTAAATAAAAAATAAAAATGGGATGTGGTGAGTAGGCCACATATTCTAGGGTTCATTCCTGGACTGCCACTCCTCAGTATGAGTATGAATGCATTGGCCATGAAGCAATATTTTATCTAGTGAACAGCTCTTAGAAAAAGGTGTAGAAAGAAGTCTTCCGTTCTTCCAGGTGCTCAGCTAGCAGATTCTTGTTTTTTGTTTGGATAGAACCTTAAGAGAAAGGAGTGGTGCTGGTTCAGTAAACCTCACTGTATCTTCAAAATGTAGTCTGGCTGCAAACTAGTAATTTGCAGACTGAGTGGGACCGCCCGCCCCAAGTCTGATGCCTCAATCTCAGACTGCTTCATCTCAGATGTTGACTTCACTAGTCTTTGTCTGTATGTTCAGTAATCCTGAAGAGTCGATTGACGCGCCCATTGCGTCTCAATACACCGCATCCACCTATGTCGGCAGAGCTACGGCGCTGTTTGTCAGACCAGCAGACATCCTGAAAATCGGTCTTCTCGCGAAAACGTCTCTGGCGTATACGACCCCCACAAGCGCCATAGGACTTTTCTGAAGTCGCTACCGTCGATGTGTGAACTTCTGTCTGTAGCGTCCAAACTGTTTGGGCTACGAACTAAAATGATCCTACTATGGAAAGGGGAGACTCTCACGAACACAATGGTGTTCTCTGTTTTTAAGGTAACCCGGTACCGGTTTAAAAAATGAATGGAAGTATGGAAGTAGTTTTGTGCCAACAAAAAGTGGTTAAATATGTGTAAAAATATATATATACATACGGTGCATTCGCAAAGTATTCAGACACCTTCCCTTTTCCACATTTTGTTACGTTACAGCCTTATTCTAAAATGTATTAAATAAAAACATTTCCTCGTCAATCTACACATAATACTCCATAATGACAAAGCGAAAACAGGTTTTTAGACATTTTTGCCAAATGTATTAAAAAATAATAATAAACGGAAATACCTTATTTACATAGGTATTCAGAACCTTTGCTATGAGACTCGAAATTGAGCTCAGGTGCATCCTGTTTCCATTGATCATCCTTGAGATGTTTTCTACAACTTGATTGGAGTCCACTTGTGGTAAACTCAATTGATTGGACATGATTTGGAAAGGCACACATCTGTCTATATAAGGTCCCACAGTTGACAGTGCATGTCAGAGCAAAAACAAAGCCATGAGGTCGAAGGAATTGTCCGTAGAGCTCCGAGACATGATTGTGTCGAGCCACAGATCTAGGGAAGGGTACCAAAAAATGTCTGCAGCATTGAAGGTCCCCAAGAACACAGTGGCCTCCATCATTCTTAAATGGAAGAAGTTTGGAACCACCAAGACTCTTCCTAGAGCTGGCCGCCCGGCCAAACTGAGCAATCGGGGCAGAAGGGCCTTGGTCAGGGAGGTGACCAAGAACCCGATGGTCACTCTGACAGAGCTCCAGAGTTCCTCTGTGGAGATGGGAGAACCTTCCAGAAGGACAACCATCTCTGCAGCACTCCACCAATCAGGCCTTTATGGTAGAGTGGCCAGATGGAAGCCACTCCTCAGTAAAAGGCACATGACAGCCCACTTGGAGTTTCCCAAAAGGCAGCTTAAGGACTCTCAGACCATGAGAAACAAGATTCTCTGGTTTGATGAAACCAAGATTGAACTCTTTGGCCTGAATGCCAAGCGTCACGTCTGCATGAAATCTGGCACCATCCCTACGGTGAAGCATGGGGGTGGCAGCATCATGCTGTGGCAATGTTGTTCAGCGGCAGGGACTGGGAGACTAGTCAGGATCGAGGGGAAGATGAACGGAGCAAAGTACAGAGATCCTTGATGAAAACCTGCTCCAGAGTGCTCAGGACCTCAGACGCGGATGAAGGTTCACCTTACAACAGGACAACGACCCTAAGCACACAGCCAAGACAACGTAGGAGTGGCTTCGGAACAAGTCTCTGAATGTCCTTCAGTGGCCTAGACATAGCCCGGACTTGAACCCGATCGAACATCTCTGGAGAGACCTGAAAATAGCTGTGCAGCGACGCTCCCCATCCAACCTGACGGAGCTTGAGAGGATCTGCAGAGAAGAATGGGAGAAACTCCCCAAATACATGTGTGCCAAGCTTGTAGCGTCATACCCAAGAAGACTCGAGGCTGTAATCGCTGCTAAAGGTGATTCAACAAAGTACTGAGTAAAGGGTCTGAATACTTATGTAAATGTGATATTTCAGATTAGCAAAAATGTCAAAACC